TTATATTGTTGTGATGTAATTTTGATGCCTATCTTGGCCAGGTCTCCCTTGCAAAAGAGATTTTTAATCTCAATGGGTATTACCTGGTTAAATAAAGGATAAATAAAATAAGTAAAAATAAAAGTGGCCTCTGCCTTGTGTCCGTTCATTTCTGATGATGGACAGATGCTCATCATCTCTCACTTGAAAAGCCACTGAAGTCTGAGCTTCTAGAGTCAAAAGTCAGACTGATCCAGAACATGAAGTAAAACTACCTCATGCCTTATTTTCAGGCACTCAGAGCAAAAACCATGGTCCCAAGGTTACATTTTATTTAGAAATCGGCTTCAACAAGCTTTTTAAAGTCCAATCGGACACTTTAGAGTCGTTCATGGTTCCCTCTTCAGACAAGCTTTCTTTTCCAACAGCACCTAAAGAACCGATGTCTGCTTTAACAGCCCCGCTAACACTGGCCTGTAAACTGGTCTGACTTTAATCCTTCAGAGGCCTCAGAATTCGGCCTTCCAGGCTTAGTTTCTAGTGACTTTTAGATGCATTCAGGCAGAGACACATCGAAAAGTAGCAGGACTCGTCCCATGAGGACAGGAGTCTGAGGCCCCTGTCCCAGAGGATGAGAAACCCCACAGCCAGCAACACAGATGAGCTGAAGGTCACTATGAAACCCAACTGTGTTTTTTAGTGCTGTAATCAAGCAAATTAATAGAATTAAAAATAAAAATATGTTAAACGCTGAGTTATTATTTTATTGACTTTAATTAACTTGATTTTCTTGTTATTCATTGAGATGCATCAGAATGGGAAAAGACAATTAACTTGGAGGCGCTGAAACCTTTAAGAACATCAAGAAATGGGCAGAAACAATCATTAAATGTCATTAATTAAGGATTAAATATAAACAATCATTTAAAAAAATATATTCTCTAAAGAGATTACATAGATCAGGTGAAACAAGTCAATACACTGGAAAAATGATCTAGAAACAAGTAAAAATGTCTTAAATTAAGAGTATTTACCCTTAATTTAAATAGGTAAATGAGATAATTTGCCAATGGAATAAGTATTTTTACTCTTAAAAAAAGAAAATTTGATGATATGCACTTGAAATAAGACAATGCAATTGTGTTTTCTTATTTTAAATCTAAATTGTCTTGTTCATTGGCAAAATGTCTCTTTTATCTCCTCAATTCAAGAACAAATGCACCCATTTTAAGAAGAAATGACTTATCTAGAATTTTATTTTTTCCAGTGTAAGCTCTGCTTTGCAGTTAAAAACAGGGGGTCATGGCAACAATCACACCAAAAAGCTGATCTAAAACAACAATTCTTTAATATTAAAAAACAAGCAAAGGCTGCTGTTCAAGCAAGAGTTTCAGTGGATTCAAAAAACTCTCCATACTGCTGTTAAAATACCTGCTTTTTGGAGCTAAAACAATCCTCTCTACTAGAAAACTATATCTGCGGGTGTTATTTTATTCTATAGCACATGACTGAGCAGGTAGTTAGTATTTAATTGCATGAATCTGTGTTTGAAATGAAAAGAGAGAATGTGAGGAAACTGACCCAGTGGAGAGCCCAGACGTCCCGAGGCTGGAAGGAGCAGGACTGGCTGTGCTGTGAGGAGGAAGAGGAGGAGGAGTCACAGAGGAGGACATGGCGGCCGAGCTGACGGGCGTCATGGGGCAGGAAGCTGAAGGTGACGAGCTGGATCCTGAGAGGAAGAGGAGAGAGATGATGCTCCACGTCAGAGTCGCTGTCGGCACAGTGCAGAGTTACAGCCTGGTTTCTAACACTTTGCTGATGCCGTTCCTTCTCGGCGTGTCCATCCTGCCGCAAAGCAGAGGAGTCTGAGCCTCAGCTCAGCGGGCCAATAAATTTCCAGCTGTGTTTGTTACCCGTCAGGTCGTTTGTCATGCGTTAGACGCCCGGGATCGCTGGCTCTGCAGCCGAGGACGATAAATCACCGGGACGAGTCATGACTCATGGAGGTAAACAGCTCAAGATGGGAGCGGCGTCTCCATGTCAACAAAATATCACTGTGTTCTGTTCCAGGCTTTCTCTCGCAGAAATCATTTTGAAGCGTTTCATCAAAGCAGCAGACGTACCAGGAGTACCGGCAGTTTCATCTGTCTGCTGCAGACCTTTGGGTCTAAAAAAACCTCAAGTAATTACAGCTCACCTGTTGTGCTGAGGCTGGTGGTGACCTGGGAGAGACTCTGACTCGATATCTGGAGAAGGAAGCAGAGGAAAGTGTCAAACAGTTTTCAGCTCAGGAAGCACAGAGTTAGGCGCTGGACGCCGATCAGAACTGGACGCTACCATGTGGGGGCTGTAGCAGTGGGCTTTGTGCGTCACGACAGGCGAGGTCTGGCTGGGCAGGGGAGGAGTGCTGCTGCTGGACGGGTTGATGCGTTTCTCCTTCTGCCGGCGGTTGCAGAACCAAACACGGATCACCTCCTTCTCCATGTTCAGCTGCTCCGCCATCAGCAGGATCTCCTCTGACGTCGGCTTCTGGTTCTGAGGAGGAAACAAAGCATATTACGCTCTTTAACTCATCAAATATTTACTTTTCCATCTATTAAAACTTTAATATAAGTGTCATGTTTGCTGTTTATCTTTAATTCATAAACTAAACAAGACATTTAGGAGATAATGTCAGAATCTGCAGCTCAGGTGAGAAGCGACATGATGTTTATTGGTGGTTTGAACAGAGCTGCTGGATCTTTGCACAAATTGGGGCTATTAAAAACTCCATTCGAAACATTAAGAAATAGAAATTATGTCAAATTTTAACATAACAATCAGAACAAATACATAAACTGAAAGTCGCGTTTATAAAGGAACTTTGACTTGGGATTGTTTGATTTAAATTAGTGATGTTATGAGATGAGCCGAGGCTTCGAGGCGTGTGTCGAGTAATGGAGGGGGGCGTTTCCCCGAAGCTCGTGTCGAGGCGTGATTCATGTAGGGGAGGGGCCAAAATTGATGACATCCGTCATCAGTCTTTGACTTTTGAAAGTTGCGATTAAACTTAAGTATTTTGGCCGATGAGACGAGTAAAAATAGAAAGATTATAGAAATATATAGATTGGGTAAATTAGGTCGGTTTAGCCAAAAGATTGGTTGAACACAACTTCCAACCTGATTAAAACCAAAAAACGTGGAAAAACTATCATGTTTGAATAAAAATGACTCATTTTGCTCATCATTGCCCAATTTGCAAAAAACACTTTCACTGTCTGCTTGAGTTCATTTCACTAAAAAAAGCACAAAAACTGTGCACCTTAAATTATTGTTCTGAGAAATTTTACAGTTAAAAAAAATTACAAAAGATTTTATTATACACACCAACTATTAACAATTTCAAAGGAACATAAAAGGGGAAAAAAAGAACAGTTGCAAAAAAAAATAAAAATCACAGATTTTATTACAAACTGTAGTTCTGTTCTCCACCAGTAGGTGGTGACATGTTCACATGAAGCCTCATGAACTGTGGGGATTCGTTGAAGCAATTTGGCCAAACGGTTCAATGCCTCATGAGGCTTCATCTCACCATCACTAATTTAAATTAACCGTTAAACTAACAGATTTAGTTTCTGTTGTTAAAAATAATAAAATTAATCCAGCCAGCTCAGATTTCTCCTTTTGTCTCGTTGTTTTGTACGTATTCAGTCTCCACAGTCAGCAGAGGCAGCGCTTAGAGTCTCGTACCGTGCTGAAGTTGCGCTCAAGCACCACTCGGACGTTTGTCTCGATGCTGGTGCGTTTCTTTCTGCGTCGGCCGGGAAGACCCTCCATGCCCAACATGGGGGAGGAGATGGAGGAGGGGCTGGGCAGCATGCTGTCCACCGCCATCGTTTCTGCAAGAAAAGGAGGCAGAGAGAAATGTGCATAAAATTTATATGTTTTCATTCAGAGAGGTAAATCAAGAAGGAAAAAAAATTAAATAAATGAATATCAATGAGATCTCAATGGGTAAATTAGTTACTTAGTTCAGGAATACTTCTATCAATCATTTTCACATTTTAATAAAGATTCATGAAATTTCTTTTCAGGAAAAACTCAAAATTATGCAATAAATTACACATGAAAATCAAACATCGAAGTAGATTTCACAATTCTAAGCAGCTGTATTTTACTTATTTACTTTACTTAATTACTTATGACTTTTTTTCTCATGAAAATATCTCCTTAAAATGAAAAATGCTAATAAAAAAAAAATTTAAGTAAAAAAAAAAATAATACAAAACATGCTGGGGTGCAGGTTAAAGTAATTCCAAAAAATTTGAAGATATTTTGGATCCAGGGAAGCTTTTTTAATTCAAAAACTGAAAAATGAAACCATTTTGAATTGAAAAACCTTCCTGGATGGGAAGAGAAACGTCTTCAAACTTGGAAACAAAGTCCAGTGGATTGTTTTTTTTAACCTTTTTTTTAACAATAAATACAAAACACATTTTAATCATCTAAGAAATCATAAACTGATAAGTGCCAATAAAAATATATTATATCAAATCTATTTAATATAGCATCAACATTTACAATAAAACAAAATACAAAATAAAGACAGCAGCAGCAAAACCCTTAAACTGAAGTTCATAAATTACCAAACAGCAAGAAAAAATATTAAATTATTTGTGAATTTTACATGTCCAAAAAAGTCAATGTTTTCAGCCTGTTTGTATAAATATAAAATAAACCAAACTCAGAGTGGTATAGTTTCAAAGAAAGATTATTTTATTATTTTAAGACTTTTCTCTGTTGTGTTTTATTTCTCACTCCCTGATTCATCCAGTTTAGTCATATAATAGTGAAAATAAACTAAAATATTT